TATATATATATATATATATACATATATATATATATATATACACACAAAATTGGTAAATAATGCATATTTCTATGTATATCTCGACAAATAATTATTTCTTTATATGCATATGCAGAATCGCAATGTAATTATTTATTTATATTCATATGCATTCTTTAATGCATATTTCTATATTTTTATATAATTTCTTTATATGCATTATTTTGTTGGGATTACATTGTATATTTATTATTATATCTGTCGGGTGTATTTTGTAATATTGATATATAATTATAAAATTAACACATTAAATCTGCCTGCATCATTTATCCAACTCATGTTGTCTAAATCTTTGAGGAAATGGAGGTGGAAATCTTTCTAAATTTATTTTTGTGGAAGATATTAATTTTTCCAGATCTTTAGAAACATGTTCTTCAGGTCTTTTAGTGCCATTTTTTTCTCACAACATCTTTCTCTTTTCTAACCACATCCTCTATCTCTCTTTCACTTCTTAATTAAACGACTTCTACTTGTTCATTATTGTTCTCTTTAGGTTTGATCTTAGTGTTGCTAGGAAGTGCTCTTTGGGGCCTATTGCTAAGTGAATTAGCAATTTTTCCTAGTTTATTTTTTATGTTTCTAATTATAGCATTTTGACCTTACAACTGTTTTCCTATTTGCAATACCATTTCTTCTATAGACTTCTTCTTATCCTCAAATTTTTTATCATTGTTAGAGTCCGGTGGATATGAAGGTCTATAGTTTGTGTTTGCTTGATTATTCTAACTTGAATTGAGAATTGCATGATTATTTTCTCACTTTTGGTTTCCACCCCCAGTAGTATGATACTAATTAAAATTAAGATAGTTCTTCCAACCTAGGTTGTGAAAGTTAGAATGTAGGTTGTTTATGGTATTTAAAGTCTCATATGATAAGTTGGAATCAATCATATGCCCTAATGTACTTTCCTCACTTACTGTATGAAATTGAAGCTGGTTCATTCCAAATTGGTTCAGCTTCCTTGATATTGCAGCAACCTGAGATGCAAGAGTTGCAATTGCATTTGTATCATGAACATTGGCTAACTTTTTAGGATTTACCCTTGTAGAGGATCATTGAAATTCATTTATAGTCATTTCTTCAATTGAACAAAATATGTTTCATCAAATGGTTTTGACATTAATGATCCACCAGCGGCAGCGTCAATTATCGACCTAAGGGATCCTATCCATTGTAAAAAGTTTGAATGATTAACCAATCGGGCAGGGCATGGTGTGGACACTTTCTTAGAAGTTCCTTAAATCTTTCCCAAGATTTGTATATTGATTCTCCTTTATACTGATAAAAAGAGATAATATCATTTCTAAGTTTAGTTGTCATTGAAGGTGGAAAGTACTTAGCTAGGAATTTCTGAGTTAACTCCTCTCGTACTTAGCTAGGAATTTCTGAGTTAACTCCTCCCAATTTTTAATAGAGCCAAGTGCTAATGAGTATAACCACATTTTAGCCTTATCCCTTAGTGAGAAAGGAGAAATCCTTAGTCTAAAAACATCATCTAACAATGCATTATAACAAAATGTAGCACAAAGTTCTAGAAAACTTGATAACTGTAAATAGGGATTCTCAGAGTTCCCCCAAACTGGTTATTTTGCACCACTTAGATAATCGTTGATTTTATTTCAAACAAATCAGCGTCTACGATAGAATTTTATATACTTGAGTGAGTTTCTTCTATCGTAGGACTTACATAATCCCTCAATGATTTATGATGAAATTTCCAAGTTATTATTTTGAATGTTTTCCATTTTCATTTCTAATTTTTCAAGTCCTTTTTGTTTTTTTGTTTTTTTTCCTTTTTTCTAACTCAAGATCATAAGGCACAAGTCCTATATATCCTTTACTTTGCATACGTAACACAACAAAAAATACATTAACAATTAAACAAATAAAACAAAAAATACAACACAACAAAACATTTTCACAAACACTTTGTTTTTCACACAGACAGTTTTTTCACAACAGTTTTTCATACAAAAAAAATACTTTTCACACGAAAATAGATATTACAACACTATAGTTTTCCAATTCTAAGCCTAATTAAATTAACAAAAATTTTCCTAAAAGTCAAGATCAGCCATTATGATCCCCAGCAATGACGCCAAAAACTTGATCCCAAGCAAAGTAAGATTTCAATTATATCTTTAAATAGTAGGGATTCTACGCAAGTATACGTATCATCATCAATTAATTTAGGGCTTTCTGATTAAGCCCCAAATATCAATCCCATGGAGATCGAGGTTAATCACGGCGGCTTTCAAGAGAAGTTCTAGTGTAGAATAACACACCCTAGCTTAGAAGGTTGATAAAGGTTTGGTTTTTATTATATCCTACAATTATCACTACAATACTACATCTACACTAAAACTAAATTACTTACTAAAAATCAGAAAGTGGGGTTTGATATATTAAAAGTACCCTTTCTCATACAATGAAATTAGTGACATGTGTAAAAGCAAAAAAAGTAGTGATAGAGATTGTGACAAATAAGAGCAATTATATTCTTAAACCTTACTAGAGATGCTATAAAGAACATTGGTTAATCTAAAGTTTGAATAGTTTTGAAGACCGGCTAGGCAGGGAAGATTCTAGCTCTCACTCTAGAGTTCTCTTATATCCCTCCACTTGGAGGCTAACATCTTGCATAAAAACCTAAAGCAATAAACCAAATTAGCGGGCCTTGACCTGTCACTTTAAATTCCTCTAATTATATGCCCATCAAAGATTATTTCTCTATTTATTTTCACTCAACCTTATGGACTACATTCTCATCTATACAATCTTATGTGATTCTACCACAGTTGATTGAGACAACAACATCACGGATCTTACATGTTCTCACAACAGATTTTAACATGCAAGTTAATCAA